TCATGAAGGCACATTTTTTCCTAAGGATGCATTAGCTTGCCCTTGACAAATATTCAAGAATTGCGCTCCCGCGAAGTGAACGCGTATGAACAGAACAAAAGGGACTGGAAATTATTTCAAAAATACTCCAAAAGATCCGGGGAAGAATCCGAGTTTTGCTAAATTTCCCATTTGAAAGAAATGAATAGAATAAATAAATTTCTTTGCAAAACCTTCCTAATGTTCGACCACTCAATATATCATTCTATAGGGTTTCAGATTCTAGACATGACCCTCTCGAATTCCCATGGGGACGGCTTCTTACGACTACTCAAATGCTATCACGACTTACACCTCTACGACACCTTCGAGACCAGCCATCACAAGAACTTTAGAGTCGGCAGCAGCACGAAACCCCCATTCGAAGCTGGAACAACGAATAGTACGACTTACAGTTGTACCTGACAGCCCACCTGTGGATTACTCCTGTGATCGAGCTCCTGTGAACGGCAGTGTTCATCGAGCTTGGTTAGGGTGAATGAATCTGAATGACAACGTTTATTTCAGAGGGGTATTTGCTGAGGAAGTGGATCAACGAGCGGCTCATTCTATGCGGAGACCACGGATGCGGCCGAATATGTTCCGAAACTGACCGTGGTGAACCGACCAGTAAGGTACCTACATGAGGATACACGGTAGGGAAAGCATGCTGAGAAGGACGCTTATTAATGTGAACGGTGTGAGAACGATTATGCGATTGATTCCTTGGAATGCACGTTTGTTGTGACGATAGGGAATAAATCTTGTAAGAGAATGAAAGGACTTGTATTTCGAAGGCACATTTAATGGGAATTCGCCGGTACTCCGTAAAAGCCCAACCAGTTAAAGGCTGTTGGCACGATCAATCCATAATCCTAGTTGGATAAATATGTCTATGAGGATGGATTCAGCTCCCCCTAGCAGTCGCTGCATAGCGCCTTTCACAAGGAAGGTACCCTTATAGTGCCCTATCGAGTAGCAACATACCATCTGCTCGTATTCCTTCATTTGCGAAAAAATATGAAGTTAAGAGAGTGATAAGCAGTCGCGATGTTGCATGGATATACAAGCAGCAGCCGTATCTATTAGGTTGTTCGAAAAGTCCTGCGACACTTTGACCAATTTTTCGGACTAAATTTTCAGTCACTAAAAGACATCTCCAATCTACAAGGTAATCACCACTAAGGACTAGTGCCCTTCTTTTGCACAGCTTCTCATTTCCATTCTTATAGAACTACGGCAACTATGATAAGAAGAAGAGGTGGACCTCATTTTTGAGTAGACGTCGATTTTCGGAATTTTTGCCCTTCTTAGGAAGCGAGTAGAGATCAGAAAACCGGTAGTAGTTAGGCAGACTGCTCTTAACTTTTGATGAATAAGCTGCGGTATGTGTCGTCATAATCTCACGATTCAAGATTCCACGAATCTTTTTGGTGCGGTTCTGATCCTTACATGCCGTCTGTTCGCCCATTGCGACTAGAGAAAAATTGAGTATTTTGAAGAATTTAAGCGTGACGTCATCCATGTTGTGAGGTTGGTTGGAGTGGACTGTAGTCCTTACCGTTATGCTAGTATCCAGAGATACCGCTTTGAAGTCCCACCAATAACCTACTGAAATCTTTATCCAGCACGATCTGCTTTTTGGCTGTGCAATCTACTTTTCTGTTTGCAGAGAATCCCTGCGAGGAACATGTGCCACAATGCTACGCCAAGACCCCCCACCACTTTCCGCTCACCAGACCACAAGATCAGGACAAATGTACCTCCAGTTGTACAAGGAAAAAAAAAACTCAGCTCACGGTCTTCGTAGACTTGTGAGAGGGGCGGTCGTTATAACGCATGAGGCATCCTTCACAAAAAATTTTTTCCGATAACCGAGGTTGCGGAGAAGCATGGCAGTTGTCAGTCAGGTGGAGCCTAGAGAGGTTGCCAAACTTACTGTGTTACGCTCGGCTGCGCCTCACAAAACAACAAAAAAACACAAAAAAAAAAAAAAACAGAAGCTTGAGTAAGCGGCCGTCATTCTGTGCTGGTGGGCGACCTATACATTGCCTAACTTCCGAGTTGAATAAGTACAGCTTGGAAGCGCTGATGCAAAAAGGACTCTCTGCTATGGCAAGCGATATCCTTCCTCAAGACAACGTGAGTGTTATCTTCCGACTAGGCGCGAGTTCCCCACAGACGAGGCTCTCATAATATGGAGTACGGTCGAAGGAGTTACCCGAGCTCTGAAGCGTATTTTTAAGCTGTGAAAACTTCCACCGAAGGCCATGATATACCCATTTTCAAAAAACCCGCAGAGACAGTTAATCATAGATAAAAAACATTCAAAAATGATTTCTTTCGTTTTTCAGAATAGTCTAACAAAGGGCGCCATGGATTTCGAACAACCCTAATAGTAGCTGTTGCTGAAAACATGACAATGTGAAACTCCTCCGAAGTTGCATCTGAGCCGTAAAGGGGGAAGCGTCTCTTTGCAGAGTTTCGACTGTTTCAGTTGGTTTTTCGCCTTTTCTTCGCACCCTGCTGGCATTTGAGACCGAGTATAAATTATGTGGTTATTCCTTCAAGAAGCGAAAGTGCAAGTGTGCCCCCGCCCACGTGGCCGAACCGACTAAGACTCGTTGGTCAATAAAGTACAGAAGAAAACGGGAACTAGCAGAGTGCAAATGCTTCTCCCAGAAGAGAAGGGCCTCAGGAAATGCCGTGACTACTTCCTCAGCAACCCACCACATTTTTGTACTCTTGAGCGGTTCTGCTGAACAGTCCTTCTGGTGGCTCTCAGACAGTACCTTGCTTCTTCGAAAGCTAGTACAGTGAAGCCGTCTTAGTTGAGTGGTTTCAAATCGTCCGCGGTTTTTTGAAAATGTCGACAGGGTTCGTGAATTTATTCAAATCCGATGTTGAAACCCCTTTCATGAAGGCATCTGTGCATGGGCCTAGAAATTGTGCCTCTTGACCTTCACAAGCCTTACTACCCTTTGTTTTCTCAAGAATAGTAAGGCAAGTAGAGAGGAGCAGGAGTCTTTCAAAGGAACTCTCTTCTCAATTCGAAAATAGTTTCCTTTTCAGTGTTTTCGGATACTGTGACTTTCTAGTTGGTCTCCAAAACTCACTTGTCCGATGCAGATCATTCACATTGAAGTTGGCAAAAAGGAGGCCAAGAAAAATCATCTGTAATCTGAGAGAGAAGCATCTGGGATATGGCGTGCATTTTATCTTCATTATGAATCACCTAGCCGGCTTCGCCGGCTAATGCCGGTGCGCCTCCTTCTAAGATACAGCACGGCTTCGCCGGAGGGACGTGGATCCACCACGCTCACCATGACACCATTCCACACATTTCAATACCGCCTAGTCATCCGGCTTTTTAATCTAACAGGACGTCATCAACCAATTATTATCACGAATAGCATCATACCTGCTAATATTCAACACTAGTGCGGTGAACATAATGATGGTCTGGAAACGGAGCCATCGATCAAAAGTAGACAGATGAGAGGGAAAGCGGGCATTAGTCGCAGCATTTCACCTAACGCAATGCCGAGGTGAGCGCGACGGCCAGCTACGCTCGCAAGTCGGGCTGCCATCACAAAGGCCTAGAGTGTTGGAACCGGAGAATTTAACACTGGCCCGCTCTCCTCAACGCACGCTCCACCCACAACGTATGCCTCGCTCTTCTCAACTGATAACCCCTCGCTGAACTACATTTTTCGGTGGTGGAGGGTTCTGGAAGCGTTTTGCGAGTTTCTCAAAGTCCGGCTCCGCCCCCTCGGGGCACGCTCCGCCCGCAGCATATGCCTCGCGCCTCTCAAATGAGGACCCCTCGCTGATCTTAAACTACCTTTTTCCGGTGTTTTAAGTGCTCTGAAAGCGTTTTGCAAATTTTTTAAATTTGGCTCCACCCACCTCTAGGCACACTCCGCCCACAACTGAAGTGCCTCGCACACTCCTGCATGTGGCCACTTGGGGCCATAGTCCACTTGTTTGCGTTGCTATGCACACTTTAGTGTTTTAGCCTTACAGGCCTGGTAAAAATTTTGTTCCAGCAAAGGGTTAGTTGGCTAGAGCGGGATCCAGTACGCCGCCTCAAGGTCGATTGTCACACCGTTAGTCGTAAGCGAGCCCCATCGCCTCCTTCTCATAAATGGGTCTTCATCTGAAATAGAATAGGACATCAAGGGTCATTCTTCATGAATTCCAAACCATCGAATGCTTGATTGATAGAGATGTTTCTTTCGCTTCACCAAGCTAATGGTGTGTAAAAAAGCGCCATTACGAAAACTGACCACCCTTGCTGAATTCCTTCCATTGAGTGCGAATGAAAAATTTGAATAAGATTAACATAAAGGTTTTATTGCCTCGACAAATTTAATTAAAACATGTTCTTCTAAAAATAGACTGCCATCAGTACATACAATCAGGAATAATGGATTTGATTAGACTTCCACTGCAGCTGAAAGACATCATGCTTGCTTATAAAAATGGAAATCCAGTCAGCTGTTTCAGTTTATGAAGGCAACAGCAGTTTAGCCGGACCGTGGGGGAGAGACGGCCAACAGTTGTAACACTCTCCATCTTCTGTTGGACTGGCATCTATCCGCAGCTCTAAAAGGTTCTGGAGGATATTCACGATAAGTTTGCATTCCGCGTTATACGATTTTGCCAAAGGACTGTTTCTGTGTCCTCCTTCTTGAACCATCTCAGATAGAAATATCCATATAAATTCAACAATGTCAGCTCTTTGACCCTATTACACCGCTTTCATCACGAGAGTTGAGACAACACTAGGCATCGCAATGACGCGCGTCGTCGCACCAAGAGTCACAGGCAAATGTCGATTGGCGCACGCATTCGTGTTTTAGGTATATAGGAGAGAAAGGAAAATCCTAGGCAATGCCTGTCATTGCGATTTCTATATGGGGCTCCAGTGTTTCTCTTTCTTGGAACGACCTCGATATTGAAACCTACCTTAATTCCAGATGTTACTCCCAACTGTGCTACTAGTGTTTGTGGCGGCAAACTGCTACCGACTTTCACAAAAAGAGAATGAACTCTTGCAGAAAAGCTGCGGTGTTGCCAACTTGGGTAAGTCCTATAGTCGAGATGTATTGGCTGCTTATGTGATAGATTCCCCTTTTCTATAAAGGCAAACTGTACACTCATCCCGAGAACGTTTCTTTTCCGCGTGCAAAAATGGTGGGTCCGTATCTGGAACGAGTCACTTTTCCCGCCTCAAACGTGGACGTGCACGGAAACGGGGCGGGAGGGTAGTGACAGTAGGGCGTCCTGCCATACGCTAACAGAGCGAAAACGCTTCTGGTCGGCGCACTCTCGCTTATGAATGTCGCTTCCTCTGAGTGTTAACTAAAAAGTGTTCAATGACTCTGGGTGTTACTAGGCATGTGAAGAAGGTCGTGTGCGTGGCGGTCCTGTCCCTTGCCCATGACATTAATTACAAATAGAAGACATGTTCTGCAGGCATTTTGTGGGTTTTGGAAGAGGCTGTGGGGCATGAAATTACTCCAACAGCTCAAAGCTTACAAGGCTCCTTCGATTCGCAGCAGTATCTCGCGCCAAGTATTCTATGTAGTTGTTGCAGAATTTTGATGCACATTGAGAAGTGCTAATCCAGCAACACCCAGTATTTCCTAGAGAGCTTATATTCTCTTGGAAGCTTCAAATGATCACGAAATCTGTCCACAGTTTCGCAAAATGCTGCTTCTGGAGAAAGTTACAATTTTTCGAAAACTCATCATGGTACAGTGACGGAAGTGATCGATAGCATTTGAAGGAGGTGAAAGAAAACCGCATTGGAAATAATGGCGAATGATCATCAGATTAGATAAATGGTCTCAAGAGGGGGGGAGGTAGTATGGACCTATTTTTGTGCGTGTTGTGGGGGGGAGGGGAAAGTTGTACCGACCAGCCATTTTCTTTGATGTGATGCTTGACACTTTGCAAAACGAGCTTCATTTACATTAATAGTAGTGAACAGGTCTTATCAATGTGAGGCGTGTAATTTTGCAGAATTGAGCGAAGAAAACTAGCATAAGTGCAAAGGTCTCTCCTCCATCCACCCATATGAGGGATGAGGAGCATCCAGAGTTTTTACAGGTCTTCGATAATTTTTTTCCCGTAGGAAGATCAAAACCAGTAAAGATGACGTGATTATCATGAGAAATCAGATATTTCGGCTTCTATGGCCGATCATTGTCAACAGAACGAGCATGATAACTTCAGGATCTTCTTCAACATTCAAGATATTTGGAGGGCGTCTTATAAAGCCAGGCGAGTACCCCTTTATGGTCAAACTATGGGTTGCTAAAGATCTACAACGTAAGCGTTTTCGTCTGGTTGCGGTGTCGAATATATAGTCTTTCACTTGAATGGAAAACATTTCCAGACGCAACTATGATTTGCAGTGGATCCCTAATCTCACCGCGTCACGTCCTTACGGCCGCACATTGTGCGATTGAGAACCTAGACGAGACGATGGTTAAGGGCAAATGCGACGGAGTGTTGAAGAACTACGTGCTATCAGAGAACAAGCCAAAAGATTTCACCGTATACGTCGGCACCCGTTGTAATCCTCCCGAGGAAGTGTAACAGTCGACACTCTGATGTTTCAAAGGTCCGAAATCGCTAAAAATATCTTCTAAAATGTGTTCAACATCTACTCTGCGTTGAACCTTTTCTCTTTTGTTCATCAGGTTTTTGTCGACAAAAAAATGAACTTCTGCGTGCGGAAAGTACAGAAAGGGGAGCTGTACGATTGGCTGGTCACACACGATCTTGCAATCCTCGAACTCAGTAAGGAAGTTGGCAGCAAGGATGCCGTTCCAATTTGTTTACCGCACCGTGAACTTCCACTGGCAAAAGAACTTCAGGCTGCTGGGACTGGACTTCAGAGTTGTAAGTTTACAATATTTGATGCCGTAGGAAATGTTGAATTTCTTTCCAATGACTCCCATCTACCACTTCAATTTACGACCCGAAAATTATCGAAAGAATTCTTAGACATGGGCAAAACGGGGAGGAGGGAAAGGCACCCATTTCTATCTAAATGGGAGACGGGTGATTTCAGGAAAATGGAAGGTACAGTAATGCAGTCAGGGCCCCATTGTTGGAAAAAACAAGACATGAATGTGATGGTTGATAGCCCGAGAACCTCCAACCTTTTTTTTAATCTCTGGCTTCTGGTTATCTCCGGGAGTGTCGATAAGACGATACGCACAGGAAGTTTACCTGGCGAGTACCCTACACAAAACTAAACTCAAACTGAACAACCCTAGCTCTCACCTCTCTTTGATACCATCCTAAGAGAGATGCGCAGTAACAAGCTTTATCAGAGTTCTTTCCTCTGACACAACACTTATATGCCACCCATTTGTACTCATTTGATGGTATTAAAGCAGTCTCTTAAGCGACGTCGATTATCGGCCACAAAATTGCTACGACCACCATGAAGTAATTCTGGGACAGAGCAATACAACTTCTATCTGTAAGGTGAGTGATATTGACGCTTATCCAGAACTCTTAGATTTACGGATTGAGTCACACATACAGCCATGGTCCTTGCAACTGAGAAAGGAGCCTGATAGCACTCGGGCGGTAGATATTTGAACCACTATGGATCTCTCCCTCGAACACAGCACCGGCGAGGTTGACCGTTCAATGAGCGAAGTGAGCAGTTCTGCTGCTGTACCAGTATAACATCTCCGACACTTGAAGTAGCATGGAAGTCAAGTTGAGAGGGGGGGGGGGTGAAAGGTGGAGCGTCTTTTACAGGTGCCTTCGCTGTGGCATGTGGCGGCGTTCTTGCACACGTACGCGGCGGCGCCAGCTTGTTTTCGTCAGCCACTGCCACCAGGGGATCAGACAACCATTGATGGAAATTGCGCCAAAAGCAGGGACGCCTCCATTCGACACCTTGATAGGACAAGTGTGTTAGGTCATCCCATTCAAGCAAAAGAAAATGTTCGCCAATGGCAGGGAAGCGAAGGACTAACAAGGGAATGGTTTGAACTTCCCATGGAACTTTGAATGGAGACCTAGGTACATCGATAGAGCCTCGAATGCTGATTACGAATATGCAGATTAAAAGTGCTACGGGGACCTCCCAGACGAGATCTGGGTGGTCAAAGTTTGAGTTCTGGCTCGTAAGCGCTGCTGATCGATGCTTCGGCAGTGCCACCGTGGCCTCGTGGTAATGGTCTCGCTTTCAAGTCAAACGCATGCGGGTTTGCATCCGGTTGGCGCGAAAATTTTTGCTTCGCTCCGTATAAGAGCTTCAACTCTAATTTTCGAAATTCTTCCGAATTTACGGCCCAGCAGGGCAAGTAGATCAAGTACATATACGACGTACTCGATCTAGTATGGATTGTGGTCATATCTGCCCTCTCTGAACATAAAAGTTTCAGCGAGAAATTCGTTCATGGGAGATTTCGACCCCCTGAACACGAATATCACATCCTTCGACGAAAAAACGCTCGTCTGGCCAAATTGCGATTCTGGGCAAAACTTTGAATTGTCGGATGGGTAATATGTTCAGAGAGGGCAGATATGACCAAATCCATACTAGATCGAGTACGTCGTATACTTGATGTACTTGATCTACTTGCCCTGCTGGGCCGTAAATTCGGAAGAATTTCGAAAATTAGAGTTGAAGCTCTTATACGGAGCGAAGCAAAAATTTTCGCGCCAACCGGATGCAAACCCGCATGCGTTTGACTTGAAAGCGAGACCATTACCACGAGGCCACGGTGGCACTGAGGGATCGATCAGCAGCGC